GGCCCGTGGCGGTGGCCTGTGGGAGCTGCGGGCGTGTCCCCCGGGGGGACCGGCGCTGCGGGAAGGCACCTGCTTGGTACCCGAGAGACAGCAGCCTGCTGCGCTGGCCCTGCCCCTGCCCCTGCCCAGCGCGCAGAGGCCCGGGCCGGGGGAGCGGGGAGGGATAGACAGGCAGGACCCTGGTGCTGCTGCCCCCTGGTCTGAGTGACGCCAGCAAAGGCCGCCGCCTGCCTTGTGGCGCTGGCCTTCGCCTTCAGTGCTGAGACGGTGCGCGGCTGGCTGGGGATGCCCCGGCCCACCTCCTGCAGTGGCGGGGGAGGCGGGGGTGTTACAGCACTGGCAGGGGGGCGCCAGCAGTGCCTCCCACCCACCTGAGCCCCCCGCGGTCCTCCCAGGCCTGCAGGAGGAGCTGGACCGCATTGATGAATTAGAAAGGATCTTGGACAGCTTCGGCTCCAGCTCCAGCTTCGACTCAGAGGGCGAGATCCAATTCGAGGGTGAGGCCAGCGCTGCCCCTGGCATCTTCCAGAAGTCGTTTCAGTGCAACACGGTGCCCGTGGGTCTCCGCATCCCCATCCCCTTGGGCGCCTGCCCACCTGACCTGATGCTGCCCTGGCAGCAGGTGGTGACCGCCGAGGTGAGTAGCAGCCCCTGTGGGACGCCGGGGGCGGGAGCTGCAGCTCCCAGAGGCAGACCTGTCCCTGTTGTGGGGAGGTGGTTGCTTCTTACTACTCGAGACCACGTGTGAGGCACTGGATTCTCCCTGTGGGGCTGCCTGGGGCTCGGGAGCGGGGCAGGCGCCGGCTCACTCGGGTCAGCAGCCTGCCGCTCCCTGCTGCCCCCCTCCAGGTGGCCGAGAAGAACGCGCAGGAGCTGGTGGCCGAGGAGGAGAGAGTGAAGAGGAAAGCGGAGAAGAAGAGGCTGAAGAAGAAGGTGCGCGTCTGTCTGCCAAGCCCTGCTGGTGCCCTCTCACCCCCAGGCCTGGCCCCAGCTCCTGGGGCTCGGACCTGCTGCTCTGCCGAAGGGACCCAAAGAGGGGCAGGCGCCTGGGGCATGCAACGACTCAGTTCAGGGCTGTGCTGGGCTGCGCAGTGCCTGCTGTCCCCCACTCCTCCTTGCGTGGGTGCCAGGGATGGCGGGCCTGTGCCCTGCTCTGATGCCTGCCTGAGCTGGGCCCCAGCCTCCCTCCACAGAGCACCCACTGGAAAGATGCTGTAGCAGTTTGGGCCCCTCATCCAGTTGGAAGAGGTTCAGGAGCTGTCCTTGCAGCCTGGTCCCTGCGGTGTGACATTGACCATGGCTCCAGGGCAGGCCAGGCTGTGCCGGCAGCCTCCCATCCTGGCATCTTCATGTGGGAGGTGGCACCAGGCCCTGAGCTCTGCTTGTCCTGGGTGACTTCACCTGGTGCCCCGGGGTGTGGGGGGTGGTTCTGTGACCCCACTGCAGCTCTGCAGCCTGGTGCAGGTGAGGGAGCTGCAGCTGGACACAGCACAGCAGTGCCTGTCTCCCTGCCGCTCACTGCGTTCCCTCCGGCATCTAGAAGCAGAAGGACCGGAAGAGGCAGGAGAAACGTGAGCAGGAGCTGAGGAGCAAGCGGGAGGCTGAGTCGGTGGGTGCTGGGCGTGGGGGCAACAGGGCCCATGGGAGGAAGGGAATGCCCAGCCCCTTGTACTTACACCACCTCTCGCTGCAGACTCAGCCTGCCTTGAATGGGACTGTGGTCATGGTCACGCTGGAAAACGGGGGCACCGCAGGGGGTGCGCTGCCTGCTCCAACCACAGGACCCCTGAAGCCTGGCAAGGCCGTGGCTCCCCCGCCAGAGCTCCGGCCCCCGCAAGCACCCAGCAGCGCAGATGCCAGCACAGAGGAGGAGACGGAGGTGAGTGAGGCCTGTGGGCTGCGGTTGGATAGATCCTGGCAGTGTCTTCGGTGCTGAGCGAGCAGCTGTGGCCTTTCCAGGCTGGGCTGTCTTGTTACTGGGTGCAAGTCTCTGCAGTGCCGCCCCCTTTTTGTCTTCTCTAGGACGAGCTTGACCTGAGCAGCACCTTCGTCTCTAAGGCACGGCGCAAGGTGGGCACCAGGCCGGCCACGCCACGCAGGGAGAGGCCAGCCCGAGCCAGCAACAAGGATCTGGAGCCGGAGCCAGAGCCGGCTGCCCCACCAGAGGTGAGTGGCAGGGGGGGGGGGTGGGGGGGGT